CCCGCATGAAATATGGGCGGGTTGGGTTGTAACCCGTTTTTGCTCCACCCATTTTAAACCCGCCCTTTTGCCACTCGTGTCTCTCAGCCAAATACACAATTCACCATTACTCATTAAAGACAATCACAAAAATCCCTAAAAAAGAGGAAACTTTATTTTGATAACATAAGGTAATTTGAAGAAAAAAGAGAGAGGAGACTTTCAATACAGTACAACTAGAAACAAATAGAAGCTTAGCTAATAAGAATAGGCAGATCATTATAACTGACATTCCAAAAAGTAACCAAATAACACAGAATTGAGTAAAGATCTGAATCTGTGCGTACGCAGAAATTTTTGTAAGCGGTGTCGAAATTATAAAAGAATTGAAATATAACTTTGATTATCATACCTTTAGACAAGAAATAACCTTAGTCTATTGATTTTGTTGAGTCTTAAGTTACAAAAGGTCCCGAGTATTTTTGCAAAAGAAAAATGTGCTATTTGAGGTTTGAACTTTTGACCTCTTAAAGAAAAAACAAGCACATTACCAACACACCAAGACACAATTTATGTCAAGTGGTGTCATTTTTTCCTACTTGTCTGTTTCCGTACAGTATAAATACATATATTCAGTAAAAGTTTCCGACGAAGCGGTGTCACGCGCGTGACACCGCTTTGGTAAGCGTAAATCCGCCCCTGTACACGGTGGTTCTGGGACAGCTTGCGCATACGTTGACTATTCTACCGGGTACCTGGTACCTCCCACTAGCATAGATACCTGGTAATTCTGCCTACCCAGGCTTAGGCAGCAGCCAGCATGTTCATAAGATTTATTCTAGTAGCAGCATCGAATTTTACACAATCAACCAACCAACTACGCAATATCAAACTAGTTTGGATCCGCTAAATGAATCATTTACATATCTTTATGAATCTTCTATATCCAATTCCTCATTATCTATATTTCATTCCAATCATAAAATTTGAATTTTAACATAACACGACGATTAAACATGATAGCTCAAAATTAGCAGACGAACGAAAAAATACCTAACACCAGCATCGCCAACGATTCCAATAGCCATACCAGCAGAAAGGCCAGCGAGACCACAAGCAAGTCCAGATGAAAGGTGAGCATATCCATCAAATAAATAATACGACTTTGTTTTCGGGTTAATCCCAGTACTAATAATCACAGCTATAATTAACCCATAAATACCCAAAACTCCAGCCATAACAACTGGCACAATTGACTTCATCACCAATTCCGGCCTCATTACTCCCATCGATGCTACCCCTACCCCACTTTTCGCTGTTCCATAAGCTGCTCCCATACCTAAATAACAACAAAAAATAGAATTAGAATTAGAATTAGAATTAAGCAAATTAAACACTAGATCTATTGGAAAATTGAAATTGGAGGCGAAGAGTACTGTACAGGAGAAAACTAAGGCAGCTGCAGCGCCGAGGAACCCGAAGAACGGTGCCGTTTCATCGCCGCTAAAAGTCGATGCCATTTTTTTCTTCGAATTGGAATTGAAGCGATTCGCGATCTGAGAGGAAAAAAAAAAGTTTATTGATCGGAATCTGAGAATGTCTGGTCCTTACTTTACGATTGATCTTAATATTGGTCTGAAAAAGAATCGTAGTATTTTCGATGGTCAACTATCGGGTCTGGAGGATTGGGCCTTAGGCCCGTACTACTCTTTTGGCCCAAGACTATTCTAGGAAGACTTGTGGGGCAAGTGTGCACGGATAGCCATTCTCAAAGATACTATTTAAAGATTAGTCAATACTTATTTATCCTGAAATTTTTAACTAAAAATCTGAATCTCAAGAATCCAGGATACTTTTGTCCCGAGAAGTCAAAAAAATAAAATTCAAAGTGCATTGACTAATTCCTAAATAGCAAACCCTTTAGAGTGGCTGCTACCAGACTTGTCCAATTATTTCCTAAGCCCATCCTAGGTAAAAAACCGGCATATGTGTTTCCAGCAAAACAAATGAATAATCCTATTTTTAGGGAAGTTACCCATTATTGCTCTGTCAAAATATTTACAGTCCCCAGCCAATTAGATATTTTATACACCAAAAAATATACATATGTTATACGTTTGCTAATTTTCTTTTTTTTTTTTTGGGCGAGCGGCTATATAAGTTAATTTCTCTATATTATCTTTACTTTAAATTTTTATTCTTCAGTATAAAAATCTTGGTTAGTTTGGAACACTGAGTGCAATTTTTAATTATCACTCTCCTCTGTCAAATTTTTTAGCTTTCTATTTTCTCTTTTGCTATTATAATGAACTAATTATTATTAAATGAGTTTAAATTTCATTTATCGATAGAGTAAAACAAATTTATATGGTCATGTCACTTAATAAAAAAAATCGTCAAGTGCTTATAACAGACATGAGTTATTGAACTAGAGAAAAGATTGAGCAACCAGCTGCAGGTGACTAGATTACTGCAGATGATTTCCACTTGCCCCAACTTTTCCTTTTTAAGCGCTGCAAATGATTTTCACGTCTCAAACATCTAACTTTAGATGTTGGTTCAAATGGCATCACCACTGCTCTTTTTTTCCCCTGCTCTTCAGGCTGCATCGAATACCAATAAAATAATGTCCTAAGGCATTTAATTGAGTTGAAATACCACTACTGTTCCATTAAGATCATTTGTTTCTTTTCATGCTTGGCTTGGACTTTGGAGTCATTAACCTTTGTAACATCTAAATTTAGAAAGCTTAGATACTTTGATTTTATAAACTTCAGTAATCACGCTACTTATAGCCTTATATGATCAAACAATAGCGTGCAATCTGATTCAAGGAGGAAGAACAAATTGAAATCCAAGAGAACATACAGAAAACATCCCTCTACATTCAGGATGCTATGGAGCTAACCTAACTTGAAAACAAAACCACTGGTGAAAGAACCAAAATTAAAAAACTGAAGTTATCGGAAGAATTTAAAGAGAAATCTGAATATCGAAGTAAAACTATTTACAAAAAGAAATCTCGCCTCAACTTCAGTAACCACGTTTAAACCTCAACAGAAGCGATTTCTTCCTCTGCTCTGATCTTCAACATCGATACCCATTATCACATGGTTAGTGCATGCTGTCAAAATAAGATAAAATTTCTATAGTGCATCAATGCATCAAGAATAAACAGACATCACAGATGCAAAAAAATCTCAGGGAGGAAGGGAGATAATACCATATAACCAGTAGAGTCTACTGAAACAATATTAGTATGAAATTTCTTCTCATCGATTATCTTGTAACAAAAATCTTAACTAGCAATTATGTGCTTGTGATCATCAACAACAGTTAGAGAAAGGAACTAGGAAATCAATTTGCCAGAATATCTTATGTGCACTTCTCAGTTAATTGAGTAAGACAACAAATATAGGAGGCAAAGTTATGAACTGCAGTGTTCCCTTGGGCAAAAATAAGCATGAGTACACAACCATACATCGGACATATACAGGAGTATTTGAGAAACAAGCTACCACATGCCCAGAAAATTATGGAAAAGCTTTAATGATTAGACTTTCACACTAGTACAAGAAAAATCTGACTTTGAACTAAATTATGGAAGCAGAAATAGCTACCTTTGCAATTAACAGATAGAACAGCAAAATAAAAGACCATAAAGTCCACTACAATTGGCCAGTAAATGATGGAAGTGGAAAGAGTTACCTCTGCAAATAACAGATAGATTGGCCAACTAAAAGACCATATAGTCCACTACAATTTGCAGTAACGCGTATAATGAACAATGACCATTGGCCTCACATGAACATCCAAAGACTTGATACCAAGTAATCTCAAAAGGGGGCCTTGGACATTTGGAAAAAGATTGGATGCTAGCAAGCCAATTATGAACCTCTTCATCCGTCTCAATGATAGAACAATCAACAGCATTCTGCAGTGAACAGCGTAGAGCTGACATTTTCATCTTTATTTACGGCCAGTATTTCATTCCAAGATGTTCAATATGATAAGTGATATGCTTCTGCGAAAGTGTATATGATCAAATTCACCAACCCAATCCGAGGATATACTTCTTTGCCTGATGGATAGGCAATCTCCTCGAAATCTTACAGAGAGACAGAGAGTGACACAATAGGAGGAGAAATAAACACAATTTCTAATTGATAATACCAAAAATGTAGAAGGCCCTCAAAAATAATAGATCTGGAACGTATAATGATCCCAATGAACCCAAAGACTCGAAGAAATAATAATTTTAATAATAATAATAATAAATAAATAAAAAACAACAGATAAGGACTGGAAAAGCCAAGTCCAAAGAGAAGACTCTCCTCCTGTCAAGTATTCTCTCAGCTACACGCTTAACCTGACAATAAAGGAAAAAGTATAAGATCAGATGGCGTATGTGAGAAATCAAAAGACTACAACCGCAAATATGCATAAAATGCATGCATTCATCTCTTCATCAAATGCAAACTTCTAATGCAGAATGAAAGTGCATTTGAATAACATAAGGTGCATTTAAATAACATAACATTTTCGTTGAAAGAAAAAGAGTACAAGGGGAAACAATCACCTCACTTTCAATAACAAAATGGCATGTAAATCCCCGAAGTTCCAGCACTAACCTTTGGAGCGAATAAAGATCAATCATCCCACTAGGGGGCAAGGAGAGGAAACGGAAACAGGATATAGAAAACTCACTTGTGTACTCCGTTTGTTCCCTCTTCTTTTTGCCTTCTTCACTGCATAATGCGTAGGAACTAGGAAACATCATGAACCAAGATCAAGCCACTTGGAGAAAATTGCCAAAAGCACACAGCTCAAAATGTTCTTTTGATTCCATGGAGCAGTTCCACAGATCAGAGCAAGAAATTTGATATAGGATCACTAAGAGATTTCACCTTCAGACTTATCAAAAAAAATAATAATAATAATGATCTTCAGTAAATAAATTTATTTAAGGAAGGGAAAATGGAGAGTTTTGTTTTACTTATTCTGAGAAAAAAATCAGAAGATTTCAAAATGAAGTAAGGATATGATGCCTCAAAATGTTATGTATATTTGTTGCAACAATAACAATCCTAAGCTGTACACATACCAAAACTAAAGAAAAGTCAGAAGTGATTCAAAAGAGAACCCAGAACTGAAAGAAAGAAAGAAAGAAAGAAAGGGCTACTTTTTCCCTAAATAATACAGCTTCAAATCTGACTACCAATTGTAAACCTAATCTTGTTATCTCCGAAGGAATTCACGTCTATCAGCAGGAGTAGAAGTATAACATTCACATGGCAAAAATGTTTATCTTTTCAACCGACTTTTCCACCTTGAGAATGTTTTTCTTGCAGGCACACTGCTACAGAAATGTCAAAAGTGCCAAATTTATGGCAGGACAATTGATCAGTCTCTGACTATTAACAGATCCACAAGATGCTCAACAAAACGGTCTTGTCTTTCTTGCCTGCAGCTCTATAGACAACTAGCTTAGCAAGGATCATTTTTTAATGAGGAAGACATTCCTCACTCGCCAATGATTGTGGTATCCACTAGTGAACAAATTGATCAGACCAATCACGCTGTGGCAAAGCATCAATAAGGATGATTATTCATCCGTGGTCCATTATGATTTTGCACCCGGCTTCATCAGCATATACCTTTCTATCAACTTGTCAACGAAATCTCTAATCTGCAGATTTACCAATACAACAAATCAAAGGCAGAGAAGCAACGAAAAGAGAAAACAAATATCAAGCACATTGAGCAAGTGCTATGAAAAATACAAGTATTTCTTTCGAGTAAATCTCCAAACAGATCCATATAATTCTTGGTCTTTTTTATTTTATCATAATAATCCTTGGTATTTTGATCCCAACTGTATCCATTGTTCTCACTTTGACCTACACGCATTCTTTTTTAAAGGCGACAATCTGCCCATTACCGGCAAATGGGAGGTGCTGTCCTAAGTGGCAATGGAGGGTACAATATGATTACAGCGTGGGAGAGAGGGGACAGTGGCACTGTTAAGAGTGTGATAGAGGGAGTCAGAAACAAGGGAGGCCAGAAGCAGGGTATGGGATTTGCTGGGAAAGAAGAAGACTATATTGCTGGTGGGAGTGGGGTGGTGGAGGTGGACCTGCAACTCCTTTTCCTTCATTTCCTTTTGCATGCTATGTTGCGCGGACTCTCCAAAATGTAGCCACACCCGTGTCGGATCCTTCAAAAATGCACTACTTTTGGAGAATCCGACACGTATCCGGCCACATTTTCGGAGAATCCGAGCAACATAGTTTGCATGTTTCTTTTCTTTCAATTTTTTTGTTTTCAGAACCTTTTGCTAATAACTATTTTGCCCTGAATTACATCAAAACACTCTCACTGAGGGGTTTCAAATGGGATTTAGATCGGTGCTTTTGAATAATGGGAGATAATCCAACCAGCCTACTGTTTTATCCAGATCAACATGATTGGGCTGATATTGATTCAATGGATTTCCACTGGTAAATACTTTGGTTGCTCTGGGTATTTGGGCTTAAATTGACACTACTCTCATGGTAGGCCATGAAATCACGTGTTTTCATTGGCGATAAACAAATGGACCAATTAAAATCAAGATCGCGACTATGTTATAACAACTCGATTAGGAACAAATTCATGGCTGAGGGCACGGTTAGGGTACTGTTTTGAGATTACTGTTTAATCAAGATTGGGACTATGTTACAACAACCTAGGAACAAATTCATGGCTGACGGCACACTCAGGATATGGTTTTGTGAATTACTGTTATCGAAAGGTGAAGGCATGGAGGAAGACATAAATAAGAAAACTACTCAACTGAACCTATTAAACGATGTAAAAAGATGACATCAACTGAGAGCAGTTTGTACCTTGTTTTTACGTTTGAAATCAAGAAATTCGTACACCAGCATTGACTTTTCAGCATCCGTGGCATGTTCCATTACCTTGAGTTTGGAACAAGATCAGTTCACAAAGGATAGATATAAAAAGAGTAAAGACCCCAAATTATGGGAAAAAAAGATTAAAGAATCCAATAGGCTAGATAACTAGAGGTGAGACATGACAGAAATCAGACCTTTGTAGCAGTTTTCTTCATTATTGATTTATACCCTTCCTTATCGAGTTTCCGTGCTTTATAAAGAGGCATCAGCAAAGATCCAACATAATCTACAACAGCCTGCTTGATTCTTTCTGCTCCTCTCGGCTGATCATGCAACATCTCTTTATTTACAGTAATTTGTGAAGCAGAGCTCTCACACACTAACACATCATGCTTTCTCATAAGCATTTTGGAACTCATGTTTGAATCCTCTTCATCAGTGACATGCATCACTGGATCATAGAAATCAGAATTAGCAGCAGCTGCTTGACATTGCCACATTTCAATGGCATTGTAATCCTTTATCCCTATACTACTTGAGCTATCAACCCAAGCTTTGGTGAATATACTACTATCTACAGGTGCACTTTCTCCTGAGTGCTCCCTAAAATTAAACTGACATGCATTGTCATTTGAGAGGCTACGCTGCGAGCGATTATCAACAGACATTCTTGAACTGTCAAGGTTCACACCAGCAGCAGAAAAATCAACAGACCAATCCCTCACTCGGCAGTTGCGGGAGTCTATTTCAGATAAGCAATCTTGCCTTCCTACTGCACCACCAGGCCAATTCCTTCTGATGTCAGACTCATCATTTGCATATTGTTCCCGTCTAGCAAATTTGTGAAATGAGGGTATCTTAGGAAGCTGCAGAGGCATGTTACACTTAGCACCAGATGAAGCATAAGCCTGCAATGAAGTGTAATTATTGTACAGCAGCCTAAGAGGAGCCAAGATCTATTTGAGGAAAAAAACATTAAACAGATAACAAAATTTGCAATGTAGAGCAGCCCAAAATTAACATAACAAAAGAATCCGACATTGTGTGTTTCCCCTTTTTCTAATAATTCGCATACTCGAGGAATAACCCAAAAACCAGTAAAATGTAGCATATTCCCAGATTGAAACAATGAATCAATACGATCAATAAATCTAGGGGATGATACATTATAAGGAACTAACCTCAGCAGCTGCAAGAGCAGCAACACGAGCTGCTTCTGCAGCGGCGAATGCAGCCTTTTCATCCTCAGACATGGGAAAATCTTGCCTTTCCTCAGTGGTATCATTTTGCCTTCCTACTGACGCTTGAGAGGTTGATGGTTCAACATCTGGAATAGTTTCTAACGTGGCTAGCTTGACATTCAGCTTCTTGTTGTTGGCATTGCGAATTGGTGGTTTTCCAGGTGCTCCAGTGTGTTTACTCTTTGAAGTATCAGCAGTAGTGGATTGCCTTAATAATTTCAGACCACCATTAGCAGCCTTCTCCTTTCGAAAAATTTCTATCCACACATTGACAAGCTGACTTGCTATGGCACGTATGTCACGGCTAGTATGCACACAGACTTTTTCTTTTACAGTTTTCCCGATACCTGAATAAAAGATGACAACAATAGGATCAATAAAATCAATACAAAGACGAAGCAAATGCACCAGTGATATGATGATTATAATGATCATTAGCAATTAACGGATATACAACGCAAATACTTTGGGTTTAACGCATAGAAACTCAAATGCAAGAAATGGTTATAGAGAATATAGATGGCCCCGGTGGCACATGCAAGTAATAATTAGGAGGTAACAATTAGCTTATATCAACAATATGGGGAAAAAGCCGAACAGTTTCAAAGAATATTGCAGAACTGCATCTCCAACCACCAACCCCCGAAATACTCAAAAAAAGGTTAACATAATAGATGACTAGAAGGAGAGCAGAATAGGAGGGATGGGGGGTAGTTCCTTTTCTCAAAGGTACCTGACAGTCGGACTGCAAGCAAATCAGTTGAAACCTTTACTAGTATACGAACACAATGACGCAAGAGTTGGGTCCCATCTTTGCCCAAGGAGTCCTGTGACCAACAAACATGAGTCAGACAACAAGCAATCTGTGGTCGACAGATATGGCATGAAACTGAAATATGTGAGGAATCATACCAGCATCCACAAATTAAGTGTGCTAAGGCCTTCTTTAGTTCCAGCAAAAGATCTCAACACTTCTACAGGAAGTTTCAACAGTTCTTTCGCGAGATGCAATCTTCCTGCTGTTGTGTTGGCATTACAGAACAAGTCCCTTAACAAATTTTCCCGGGTCAAAATCTGCACCCCATCCAAAGAGTTCTTGCACAATACACTTGAGAGCTCTACTGCTTCAAGTCTCTTCATAATGTCCCTTATTTCACTCCTTTCAACATCCGAATGCCTCTTTGCATCCTCCATTGCCTCTACTTCTGCTGTGTAATCAGTGCCTGTAGTCAATATATCGATTATGCGCACAGCTTCTCGTAACCCACTCATCATTGCACCACCAACTGTGTCAGGGTGCTCCTTGCAAGTAGCTTCACCCGCAAAAAATATACAGTTCTCCACAGGCCTGCCCAATATGTCATAATCTTCTCCAGATGACCCTACAGCCACATAAGAGTAAGCCCCATAGCTATAAGGATCTTTTCCCCAGTCGGTGACCACAGAAGCAACTGGATCAGGTACCCTGTTCTCACCATAAAGCTTGCGCAGAACCAGTAATGAATGCTTTACATGGTCAGAGGAGCTCATGTCCTGGCCATCTATAGCAGCTTTTCCAACCACTAACGCTATAAGAACAGGTGCCCCAACAGTTTTCTTGACATTCCAGAACATAAAGCATCTCCCCCTCTGGTCTGTTTCTTCTGCAGTCGCACCAAAGTAATCAATAGAATCGTCCCAAAATACTTCAGGAAACTCCAACACAACTTTATTAAGAACACCAAAGCCGAGCCGTTGGATAGACAAATCTTTCCAGTAGGGTAAAGGTGGTGAAAATTTAATGGTTTCTGCCTTAAGACACCCTAATGGAACTGTAATAAGGACTGCATCTCCTGAAAACTCTCGTCCATTTGACGTAGAAACTTTTACCTTGTTAAATAAGTCATTTTTTGTCGGAATGTCTTCTTTGCAATATGAAATATCAGTAACAATGTGGTTTAAGTGAACGCAAAGTCCCTCACGCAGAGATTCAACAACGGAGCTGTAGCCGCCTTTAATCATACAATGAGCTCCACCAAAACCTCCATATGCATCATCCTGATTCCAATAAGGAAGAGAGACTTCTTTAAGTAATGCAGCACAACCATACTCCAAGTTGGCAAAATGCCAATCCATTACCCTCCTCTCAAGAGGGCTCAAGATCTCTATCTTAGAACTAAGATTTTGAGAAGTTCCCCCATCAGGAAGTGTCATGGATTCCACTGCTGTTACTGATGATTTTTGTGGTTCATTACCCATATGATTTCTTGCAAAACGAGCCTTGCGACGTCTCTTAAGTGCATATTCTAAACCATCCTCCAAAGACATCCGCATCGCATGCTCCCCTTTTTGAGCAACCAACAGTACCATATCATCCAATAAGCTATTGAATTCTGCTTCCAATGCTTCATCTAGATCTGCTGGTACTTTCTGGCCAGTAGCTACATCGTACAGTGGACAATCACTGTTCAACACAGTCAATTCAAGACCCAACTGTGCACAAATCAATGAAGAAGGATCCGGTCTTCTTTCAGTCGCCACATCTGCCTCAATACCGGTAATAATGCTAGCACCAAGGTCAACTGGGACAGAGAGAGATGAGCGATCTGTAAAAACACGACCACCTATTCTACTTCTGGCCTCGAGCACGGTAACATGGAATCCTTGGCGTTTCAGGTGCCGTGCTGCGGTTAGGCCAGCAGGACCAGCACCAACAACAATTATTCTTTTTTTCCCTTTTTCATCACAACATGTGTTTTGCCTCTGACTCCCGAATGAGTCAGGTGGGAACCCACAAGTATCTTCTGAAATCACAAGATGTTTATCGGCTGTTCTACCATCAATCTCTGTATTGTTAGGAGGCAAAAAATCTGGATGTACAATATTCTGTAATTCACTATCCTTAACTTCACCTGAAGGCACTGGACCAACTGAACCTAAATCAAATGGTTGACAGGGTGACTGTATATCAAGATAACCATTTACCCGCAAATCATCAGCAGGACATTCTCGTTGCTCCGATAGAGTAGATAACTCTATGGCCGGCCTATCAATGAGCTGGCAATCAGTTCCACTGTTTTCTATCTTTTTCCCTTCATCAGATGAAACATCATTCTTCTCTGGCATGACAATCTCAGAACTCTTTGACCTCCCAAGAATAAAAGAAACTCCATCATCCGTATCAGTAACAGGAGCTCCAGTGTTTTCTACAAATTTTTCTTCTTTCAAAATTTTCAAGTTGTGGTCGACACCATTTTCAGCTTTATCCTTTTCTGAAGCAATTCCAAAATTTATGTAGCCCTGTTTAAAAGTGGTTAAACTGTGAAAATTAATGATAAACTAGCAAGCAAAGAGAACTTCATGAACCAAAAATAGTTTAACGTAGAAGGATCATATTAAAAAAGAAGGGCAGATCTCCAGCTTGAATAAGAAAACTCCAATGTGAACTTGGAGGATTGCAAAATACTTACACAGTGATCAAGAAATGAATAGATTTGCCTAATTAAAGAAGCCCGAGGTGATTCATCCGCCAAAGGGGTTTCAGACACTCCACATTCTGAAAGAGGTAAGACACGACTGATGTCTTTATTCCAAAGGCTCAAAATCTCATTCCTACATCACAACAAAGATTCACCAACCAACAGAAGTCAATAATGAAAATATGAAAAACAACAAAGATTGAACTGCATCATAAAGGAAAGTTAACATGCAGTAAATTCCCTGATCCCGAACTGTACGCAAGTTAACAATGGAAAGTGCCAAAACCAAATTCCTTAAGTCACAAAACTCAGATTTATAATAGAGATAACAAAGAAGCTTTCAGGAATAGTTACTAGAGAGAGTTTTTTTATATTACAGAAATCCCGGTTTTTGGCCTGACTCAGTTGGTGCACCCGCCTTCCCCTCTACCGTTGTTCTAAGAGAGAAACCCTGTTAAAAAGAATACCCGGAACAATATTCTAATTGTCTATGCATGTGCATACATAAATTACCTGCCTAAGAGTGGCTTTAGAATAAATTATATCAGAAGAGGTGAGGTGGACATGTATAAATTCCAGTACAGGCTGCAGTTAGGGTAAGGTGAGAACCCTAAAGACCCATCCACCTGCATTACACGAAAATTTTAAATTTTTTTAGTTCAAAATTTTCTTTTTCATCTAGAATTTCTCTTATATTATCACCTTCCTAAATGAATCATCACCTCTCATGTTCCTAGTTCAAAAGTTTGCGGCACTCATGAATGCTATGTTTGGTTGAGAAGAAAGGGGGATTGGAGGAGCGGAAATGGTAATGGGGGATAGCAGTGCTCATGAACGCTGTCTTATCCTCCCCTCCCCTTCTTGGAACCAAAGATAATGTAATAGTATTCTCGCAGGATGCATCATGGAATGATTGGGACTTTGAATCTTTAGATACATCTGGATCTAACAACCCGTCAAAAAATGAAACTACTTGCTCCCTTCTCTTACGCACCACCAGAGTATGAACGAAAAGACACACAAACGAGGGTGGAACACCTTGTACTCCAACGGTTATGATAATTGCCTTCCAAGAAATTGACCCAGGTTCGACTCCCCAGATCCCATGGTGTGGGATAATACTCGGTATGTTATTGTTGTTGTTGTACTAGAAAGTATATTTAGCTCAAAATGATCTAAAATACTAAACAAAGTAAAACAACATAATATTGGACAAAGCAAATAGCTCTTTGGTTCATCAATGGTTATCACAGTAGTTAGACCATAAGAGAGGACACCAATGCACAACAGAAACCAATGAGTTGTTCCAATTATATAGCCAACTAATCAGATAAAGTGTGCTGTTCAAAAGCCCCCGCCATATCACTAAAAATATTAAGTAACTTTTTCCCCTTTTTATTGCTAACAAAGTATATATTTCAAATAGAAACACATTTAGAGCTTCAAAAATCAACATTGACATGTGCTGTGTGCATGTTAAGCAATTTGAGCTTTAAAATACATCAAGGGTTAGTAGATTGACATATATTGTGTATATCAGTACATGCATTCATCAACCATAAAGTGGGATGCTGATAAAAGTTCCTTACTTGTATTTATGCAAGACAGTCGATCATTTCAAGATTTAAATAGATGAATTTTTCAATAGAAACAGCATTTAGAGCTTCAAAAATAAACAATAATATATCTTCTATTTATGCAAGACAGTCGATCATTTCAAGATTTAAACTGACGAATTTTTCAATAGAAACAGCATTTAGAACTTCAAAAATCAACGATAATATATACACCTATTGTGTGGAGTGCGTACATGTTAAGCAAGTTTAACTAAAAAAAAGCATCAAGTGTAAGAAGATGATAACGATACATTTCATTCAAAAGGCAAAAACCGCCATACTTATCTGTAAGAACTAAGACGGCAGGAATACCAAAATAATTCCATGCATGCATAGATATTTTTCGCAAAGATATATGCCTGTTTCAATGAATAAGATAATGCATTAAACTAATTTGTACTGCAATCACTCTTAGTTGACAAAATTTTACAAAGTAACTAGAAGGTTATGTGATGCGTTACATTTTCATGCAAAATCAGGGTGTGGTCTAGCGGTCAATGAAGTGGATGAGAACCATGAGGTCTCAGGTTCAAATCCCAATGGAGTTACCGGGTAGTTGTCTAAGCCTTAATGGACAGAGTTACCGGGTAGTTGTTGCTAGTGGGAGGTAGCAGGTATCTCATGGAATTAGTCGAGGTGCGCGCAAGCTGGCCCGGATACCACGGTTATCCAAAAAAAAGCCCCCACCATATCATTGAGAGAGAGAGAGAGAGAGAGCAAAACGAAAGAATAAAGTTCAAAATCCAAGAGAAAAGGGGAAGAAAGATACTAGCCCCTAAAGGCTTTAGTCTAGTGGTAAAAGCACAGCTTGTGATGTGTGGGTTAGGCTCACGCCACAACTTCGAACCTTGCGACGAACAAAAGCCTGGTATTTAAATAGAGAAAGGTAGAGGGGCGGGCCTATTATCCACCAAGTCTCAAACCATTCGCCACTAGTGCTCGGGGATTTCTCAGTTATCATAAAAAAGGGGAGGAAAGATACTATGCTTTCAAGGCATACTTTATATACACTAAGCCTTCAAGTCATAAAACTAGCATCTTTCTTGGGCTTAGATGCCTTCTCCTAGTAAAAAGCAAAAAAGACACTTCAGTTTTCTCTATGCATTCAATTCAGCATCATAACTATCAAAACCAACACATGTAAGATGTAACAAATCATACTCAATGTCAGCAAGGAGAAGAGGAATTGTTTGCAATGTCATCTGTCCAAAAGAGAAAAGAACTTTTTGCAATGTCATCCCAGTATTTACTGAAACTAACAAGATACAGGACCATTTTCCAAGCATCATTATTTCTTATATCTTTCCCACCAGACTAGGCAGAGATAACCCTTGTGGATTATGTTGTTAGTTACAAATTAAAATATTAACTAAAACTTTCTCCCTAGTTTTTACTCTTAGGAAGGGTTATTATCTAATGGTTCTTCAAGGAAAGCAGGAGCCAGGAGCATATTTATTTTTCTATGCAAATAGCCAGGGACTAGTTCATTTTTTTTTTTTTTTGGCAACAATGAATTGAGCAGAGATCAGAATGACCCCAAAGCAACAAAAATAAAGGAAAGATTATAAACATAATTTAGTTATCTCATGGACAATCTCTTGTAAGGAACTTAAATAGTACATTTACTAGAAGACTGGATATGGTATTCAGAGTACAAGATCTGTCATTACCTGCATTCTAGATATTCCAGGAGTCCACCTTTGCGCTTCAGCACCTCCTTAAACTTGATTCTTTCTACTGGCCCAACTTCACGAGCTTTCAGCCCAACAGATACTGCTGCTGCCCCGCCATTTTTAGTATCCATACCTATCAACATAGACTCGAGCTTCTCTCTTGTTCTGAAGGAATGTCTACCATCTCCATCCTGATGACTGAGAAGAAAATCTTGCCCATGCACCAGAATTTCCCAATCAACATCACCCTCATAGGCCATGTCCCCGTGCCTACGCTTTTTGATCTTACGTGGAGCACGTTGACCAGAAAAGAGTCTCTGCCCTTTTCCCTCGGTAGCCAGTTGAGACTCAGTTTCTTCAGCAATGTTTTCATCACATTCTGGTGTAATTGATGGAGAAGATGTGGCATCAGCCTCATCATCTCCAGTAACAAATTCACGACTTTGATGATTGGCACCTTCACAATTCTCATCAGCCAGTTGACTCGGATGGAAAGCTGAAGCGCACTTGCGCAATGAGGTGGCAGAATTATCAATAGTCATTTGTTTAGAAGAACCATAGATGTCATCACCATTCTCCATGCTTTGGTCCTCGTGCTTCATCTGGCTGGCAACTTTAACTTGCTGATTCCTTTCTATAGCCACTGGAGATAACCCACCCTCAAACACTTGACCATCCTCCTTTGACAAGGAAACTGGAGCACAAGCTTGGTCATCAACAGAATCACCAGAAATTCGCTGCTCATCATAAATGTCATTTGAACGCTTATCTGCTGCAACAAAATCAGGCGTCAAACAAACTTGAGCATACCCACAACCTTCCGCGCCTGTCTCCTCCTTGGCTGCAGGTGGGCCTTCTAAAAGGCAGGTGGATGGCATCAAAGTTTGAATACACACATTTCCAATGCTTCCTAGTGGTTTATCAAGTTTGTTCAATAACTGAACGCTTCTACAAGAACCTGAATCATCTGCTTGGCTTGAAGAGCAAATTTGATCATCTACATGAGTTTCCTGGCTGCTTAAAATTGCATTTGAGTTCACATCCATATCAGCATTGAACTTGGTTTCTGACACAGGATGCTCAAACTCAAGCTTCTCGATATTCTCAGGAGTACTGGTATGTACAGACGAAATATCACGACCTGCTGTTATTGAATGATCACTAAAACCGTCCTTGGAAGCAGACTTTTCATGACAATTAGGCCAGTTCTTCAAGAGACCCTCATCATGAAGATCCTTACAATTTCCACCCGCAATATCATTCACACTGGCAATTTCCTCTTCACTAAGTTTAATGTGACATTTGATCTCACCATCTAGGACACCTGAGACCTTAATGGAAGATGCATCATCTATCTCATTGCTTGATTTCAACAACTCATCATTGTTCAATGCAGAAGAAGAAAGCTCTGGCCATGAAAGGTGTTGGACACATTCTTCCTTTATGGGCATTAACTCACCTGATTTTGACTGCATATCTACTGAAACGCTATCAAGTGCCACGCGCACACTCTCATTGGATTCAGGAATTTCTTCAACCAATTTCCGGCACATACTTACGGAAGAAACGGTTTCTGTTGCAATAGGGCTCGAGTTCAAAACATCACATAAAGCTTCACTTTCCTTCCCTCTTTTCAACTGCAAAGGACTGTGGGATCTCTTAATCAAACCAGATTGTGTTTTCTTCAGAAAAGCTGATAGTGAATCTTCTAGAATGCCACCATCAATGCAATTAGGAGAGCTTTTTCCACTCTTTTTATCACATAGCAAGGAGATATCCCCAGATACCTCCACTTTCTGTGGCTCCAAAGCAAGCTTTGGCCTCTTACTCTTTCTCTTATTTCCTTTCTCAAAACCTTTATTGATTGTCCCTTCAGATAGACAATCCACATCTGACCGATCCTTTTCCACAATCTTGGCCATTACGTTCACAGACCCATCTAGAGATTGCACTGTCAAATTACTTGAACTTTTCCCAATAGTTGATACAGATCCACTATCCTTCTTAGGACCCTTCAACTTTTTCCTAAAACTAGCTAAGGTATCATCCATGCCAACCAAATCTTCATCCTTAACCGCTGCTTTTCGAACCACAGCCTTGTTACTACCTAGTTCCACCTTGACTTTTTTCAAGTTCTTTTTGCTTTTTAGCTTCAGTAAAGACCCAATAGGCTCATCATCTCCTGAATCAAACTCCATCTCGACACGCTTCTTAGGTGCTATCTCCAACCCTAATTTGATATTCTCTTCCTCCCCCATGCCTCTAGGGCATCAATCAATACACTCCCCTCCTCCACATGTAAACCCTAGCCAAAATTCCATCAACACATTCAATATACAACCATTCCAGGGTACTGAATCAGCAAAACAAATCCAGAGTTCATAAACACAACAACATTCATATCCAAAAAAAACACAAATCTTCTTCCTTTTCCAGAAAATTAGAGCCAATGCAAACAATTAATAATACTATTTCAGTTTTTCAGTTAACTAAAAGTACATTCAAAATTAGAGCCTATGAATTGTTAACAACTACGAACAGCCCAAAATTGAGATGAAATAGTAAGAAATGTTAGAAAATTAGGGTTTTTTGAGGGGGCAAAAGGAAGGATCGGACCTGAACGTTGGAGCTGTGTGTGAGTGTCTGAGGTCGCGTGAATGGAATCTTCTAGAGAGAGAGAGTGAGAAAAGGGAGGAAACGCCCTTGCGCACGTTAGCGTTCACCGGCTAAAGGAAGAGAAGTTCGGCCACGGCCTAAAGCACACTGCGCCTACTGTCGAGGGACGTTGATATGATATGACGGTAAATTTTTAGGGACTTTACACATAGACCCGCTTATTTTTTTGTGTGTGTAATATTAGCCTTGTTTGACCTTGACCCAGGGAAGTAAATGATTAGAGAAAATCGGATTATGCAACCTAGATTGATACATCATTTTTTAATTTCTATTATTAACATGTCATTTAGTTCTATAAATAGACACTTATAGCATGTTTAGCCAAAATGGAGAAATCAGCTTATTTTGAAAAGTGTTTTTTTTAAAAGTGCTTTTGAAAAAAGTACTTTTTGAGAGAAACAATTTGTGTTTGGCTAATTACTCTGAAAAGCACTTTTGAGCAATAATTTGTGTTTGGCCAAACTTTTCAGAAAGTGCTTTTAAATATCAAATTACAAATAAGGACATGAGTAGATTTACTTTATAGTTAATATTATAAGTAAATAAATAATCTCAAAATTTTGTTAGTACATGCAATAATTAAATATTTTCATTTTATTTAAGTAAAATATAAAAATAAAATTAAAAAGTACTTAATTCTTTTAATATAAGTTAAATATATTAAAAATCATTCAACAAATATAAAAGCATTCACCGCAAAAGTCACTATATATTAGAAAGCAATCATAAAAATAAGAAGAAATATTTATACATTAATATCCTAAGTATTAGGTTTAACGGTTATTTTGGTATATACTATATTTTGTTAAGGGCATTTTTGGTAAGAATAAAAGTCAAAACTGCTTCTGCTTCTGCTTTTGGGAAGAAGCTGCTTTTTTCTGCTTCTCAAAAATTGCTTCTGCTTCTTCCCAAAAGCACCTTTTTTTCCTCAAGAATGCTTGGCCAAACACCTCAAGTTAGGGGAAAAAAACTGCTTTTGGGAAAAAAGCACTTTTGGCCTCTTGAGAAGCTTGGCCAAATTGTGACGACCCAAAGGGGTCATCACTTGTTTTCTTACCCATTCCGTACTTCTGAGGCCTTGAAAACTTCATCTAGGGTCGCCTCGATTTGCGTACGCAGTCCGGGCGCGTAGCCGAAAAACTTAAATATGAATTCCGTGAGAAAAACACTAAATTTTGATATTAAATTGACTATGTTTGACTTCGGTCAACATTTTAGGTAAACGGATCCGGACCCGGGACTTGGGCGTACGCCCGGAATCAAATTCCGAGGTCCCAAGTCCGAGAAATAATTTTTTGTGTGAAATTATTTTTGGAAATAATTAATGAAATTGGAAACGAAAATTGATTATAAGACTATGGTATCGGGACCGTATTGTGGTTCCGGCGCCCGGTACAATTCTTATATATGATTTAAGCACTTTCTGTAAAGTTCGGTTGAGAACGGACGTCGTTCGACGTATTTCAGACTTAAAATGGGAATTTGATGTTCTATGAAAAATTTGGAAGAAATCATGAGCTTTGAGGCTTGATTTGATGTATATGATGTTATTTTGGCGATTTGATCGCACGGATAAGTCCGTAGGATGTTTTTGAGGTGGTGTGTATGTTTGGTTTGGAGCCCCGAGGGCTCTGGTGAGTTTCGAGTAGGTTCCGGGATGCCTTAGGCTTAAAATACCAGATCTTGCAGGTTCAGGAAAATATCATTTACAATCATTACTCACCTCGAACCGGCGAAATCTCTAGCTCGCGACGCCTTTGCCCCTCAAGTCGGCCTCCACGCGCGTCGAATCTATCCAAAACCACAACGAATACGTCACAATATGCCAATGGAACAATACCCAATCGAAAATTATTAAAAATCTCGAAATTGGCAAAACCCGAGCCTCGGGCCCACATCTCGAAAATCAGAAAATTTTACATCAATGGGTTCCTTATCTCGCCACGAGTCTATACATATAAAGATTACCAAAATCGGAGTCCAAATGACCCCTCAAATCCCCATTCTTAACTCTCTTAAGTTCAAGCCCTAACCTCCATTCTAACTCCTTAATTCCTTAGTTTTTCAATCTAAATTCACAATAAAAACGTGTTTTTAGTTCATAGGACTTACCTCCAATCAATCCCGTCGAAACTCTCTTCAATCCCATCCAAAAGCTCTCAAGGATGCTCAACAATGGTGAAAATACTTAGTTCGCGGATGAAATGTTAATAAAAACCCTTCTGTCCAGCTGCCCTTCCTTCTACGCGATCGCAACCCCAGGCTTGCGATCGCATTGAACAAAATTTCCAGCTCCATTTTTAACACTACGCGATCGCACAAACATCCCTGCGATCGCAATGACCAAACACTTTACCTTACGCGATTGCAGACGCACCCACGCGATCGCGATGAACAAAAATCCAAACTCCCAAGATTTCTCTATGCGATCGCAATAACACTCCTGCGATCGCACTGCATGAACTCTTGACACTACGCGATCGCGAACACTACACTGCGATCGCATAGAGCAACTGACCAGCCCCAAAAATCCTTCTATGCGATCGCAAAGCCTCTCCTGCGATCGCATAGAGCAACACTCTGCAGCACTGACCTGCAATTTTCTGCAACATCCAAAGTCCCAAAAAAACCTTCCGTTGGCCATCCGAAATCACCCAGGCCCCTGGGACCTCAACCAAAAGTATCAACGCATCCTAAAATATCATTCAAACTTGCTCCAATCATCAAAACACCTCAAACAACACCAAAACCACCAAATTACATCGAATTCAAGCCTAAGTTCTTCTAAAACTTCTGAAACACGCATTTGATCAAAAACCCAACCAAAACACCTCCGAATGACCTGAAATTTTGCACACACATCCCAAATCACCTAACGAAGCTACAGCAACTCTCGCAATTCTATTCCGACCCTCGGATCAAAATCACACCTATCAACCGGAAATCACCAAAATACTAACTTCGCCAATTCAAGCCTAATTCTACACCGGACCTCCAAAATCACTTCCGATCACACTCCTAAGTCACAAATCACCTGACGAAGCTAACCAAATCATAAAAACTCCGATCCGAGCTCATATATAAATAAGTCAACTCTTGGTCAAACCTTTCAAATTCAAAGCTTTCAACTGAAACTGTTCTTTCAAATTCATTCCAAATTTTTCTGAAAACCAAAACCGACGATCTACAGTAGTCACAATACATAACACGGGGCAAGTTATGCCCGAGAACTGGCGATCAAAGTGCAGAAGCTCAAAACGACCAGTCGGGTCGTTACAAAAGGATAAATGTACATAGGTTCTAAATATAAGTAATTAAGCAATTATTAAGCCAAGTATGATTAAAAGCGATCGTGCTAAAACCTCGAAACCCGGGAATGCCTAAGACCTTCTCTCGGGTTAACAGAATTCATTGCCCGGTCTTCTGGTTTTGCGGACTTTTAAGACTGAGTCAAATTTCCTCTATTTGGGATTTAAAATAAATTGGTGACTTGGGACACCATAAATATTCCAAGTGGCGACTTTGAAATTCAATAAATAATCTCATTTCGATTAATGTCACTTTAATTGGAAAAACTCCCTATTCCCTTGGAAAAAGGAGGTGTGACAAAAACTTGTGGGTATAAGTTATGTTTCATATTTTTTCAACAAAAAAAAAAAGTGAAATATGTTTTGAAAACTTATGTCCAAACATATTTTCATCTTCAAATCAAACTTCAGCCAAATCAGTCTTTTCAAAACAAATTTGGGAATATATGGCCAAACACTAGCTTAGTGACTTGCAGATTATTATTTTTCAATAACAATATAGTACTCCCTCCGTTTCAATTTGTGTGAACCTATTTGAGTGGGCAGAGTATAAGAAAAAAAATGAAGACTTTGGAATTTGTGATATTAAACAAGTCAGACTATTTGTATGGCTATAATTCTTTTGAAACTTATGGTGGTAAACATGCCAGAGTGTTTGTGTGATTATAAAAGTTTCTCATTAAGGATAGAATTGGAAGATTAAGCTAAATTGTTTTCAAATATAGAAAGGGATCATTCTTTTTGGAACGGACCAAAAAAGATATAGGTTCACATAAACTGGAACGTAGAGAATAATATTTTTTGGCATGGTTAAGTTTTGGGTGACCACTCATTAGGTGTGTTCCCCCCCCCCCCCCCGATCAAGGTGTTTATGTTTATCTATAATTATTTTAAAAAATTAAAATAAATCATTTCAAGATGAAAAAGACCGACAATAAGATTATCGCAGAACAAAAAGATAGAAAAAATATTTTTATTTTCACATATAACATGAGTTCACAATTTTATGGATCATCATTTCTATGGGTTATATGTCTTAAACGTGTGTAACAATTTATTCCTCACAGGGCGGATCTACAGTCTAAAAAATTGTTCACGTGAACCGTGGTCCTCGGGTTAAAGTATAGATATGATGTGCATAAATTGACAAAAATAAATATAGATATTTGTTTAATTTTTTTTTTAAAAGTAATGGTGAACCCATTCTCCGGAAATTCTAAATCACTACAAAAAAATGGGTAAATTGCGGAGGTTTATTTGCGGAGGGTATAAGTAACCTCCGCAATTTGCATACTAGCCCCCATAGAATTATACAATTTACGGCGGTTCTAAAACTTTCGCAACCCTAAAATAATAGCGGGTAATTTATTTTACACTCCCTCCTTTTTTTTCCCAATCTTTTCAGAAACTTCCGCCTTTCCCAATCTTTACTCTCTTCTTTCTCTGATTTTCACTCTTAATTAAAAAGAAACTTCAGCCTTCCATGCTCTCTTCTTTCTGCTTGCCCCATGAATGTCGTTTGGGATTCATGAAGTAGTTTCATTTTTCCTTAATGAGATTTTAATGTTAAGATTTGAAATTGAGGTTTTAAGAATATAATTTTCCCAAACAACTAAAAGGCACGACTCATACAGATCTGTGGAATTTTGTTTTGGTCTTGGAATTTTTTTGGACTACAAGAGGAAAGAAGCAATGTGGGTGGCAAAGAATTTGCAAAGAAGTTGCATATTGAGAGGTAAGCATATCTATGGAAAATAAGCATCTTTCATACAAAATTAGGGATTCTTATAAGAACAGATCTATACATT